GAGTTTGTGAGATGAGTTTTAGAGATAAAAGTATGAAAAGTTGTTTGGTGTAGTTTTTTTCAAAAGATGTTTTGGAAAATTATTTTGAGAGAAAGTTTTGGAAAAAGTGATTGATTTGATGTGTATGAGAGAGAGATTTGTTTGAAAAACTTGTAAACCAAACAAGTTTTGAGAAGTTTTTTTGGAAAAATTTGTTTGGTTTGATTACTTTGGAAAACTTATTTGTAGAGAATTTTTTTCAAAAATTTTTGAAAAACACAAACCAAACAAGGCCGAAGTGTCCTTAAATTGCTGCGGATCTTTGATTATTAATATATATATATATATATGAATAAAAATTGAGAGATCTAATTTTGAAAATCTAAAGAGAGTTCTAATGATGTAGTATGGAGTGGGGTCCACATGTGATGTGATGTGTGCGCTTATAATTTTTTTTTTTTTTTTTTTTTATATCACTTGAGCTATTTTTAGAGCTTCAAAATTAGAATTCTCCATCATTGTTGATATATATATTTTACCCTCTAAAAAATAAAAAATAGAATGTAAAAGTAAATTGAATTTTGTCCCAAAATGAGATGTATGTTATAAATTGAAAATTGGTAGACTGTACGTAAGTTCACTGCTGGAAATCAAGGATTTAGTGGCGTTTAAAAAACGCCGCGGTAGGTCTTAAAAACGCCGTTAAAACCTTTTGTGACGTTTGGCACTAAACGTCGAAGACGCGGCCGTCGCTATAACTTTATGACGCTTTAAAAACGTCGCTATATGACTATAGGCGGCGTTTCTAAAAACGCCGCTAAAAGTTCTACTAACGTTAACATGATGTCACCATACTATTTAGCAACGTTTTAAAACGCCGCCGTATCTCTTTTTAAAAGAAATGCAGCCCTCGGTGTGACATTTAGCAACGTTTTTAGAAACGCCACGATAGCCTTGTTTTTTTTTTTTCTAAATTTTGCGTAATTGAACTAAAAAATCCCTGTAATAAAACTGAAAAATAACACTAATATAAAGTTGCTATGTTTAAAAGCCTTCCTATTACATTAATGTACATAAAAGTGAGTGGTGCAACTCCCAACTTAACATTGCCATTCACCCAACATACATATCCACAAGAAATGCCGAAAACCAGAGGAATTAAAACAAGCATATCATATGATCTCCACACATACAAATTCTTAATTGAGTGCTGAAAAAAAAAATACAAATTGACTCTCTCTCTCTCTCTCTCTCTCTCTCCTGCAGAATATAAGTTCTAGAATAGGGCAGCAGAAAAAAATACAAAAAACCCTAAAAAGAACCCATTAATTCAACAAAAAAATCAACTCTGACTGTTCCCAAAATAGCAACAAATGTCCCAGCAGTAAAACAAAGTCAAAAACAACCTACAAAACACACATTAAACAAGATCCTCAACTTTCAAATTGAACATGTAGAATCAATAAGGCCTATTCTTTTTTCTTTTTCTTTTTTTGTTTTGTTTTCTTCTTTTTTTTTTTTGATTGCCAACAAAAAAGAATTGTAACTTAACCATGAGGTAAGGGTCTCCATTCAATATGGAAGGGTCAAGCAGACAGAACCATGATGTAATGGGACATTATAAATTAACCCACTTACAGAATTCATGTGAAGACTCGTCAGGTCTACATACTAGACTCGTAATGTTCTAACCAACTACACAATGGCTAGTCAGGTCCATGACAAAATACTAATTTCCAACACCAAATCACATCATGTCTTAATAGAATTAGAAAAGTGAGAAATGAAAAACTAGTGATGTTTAGTACTTTTACCTTGTTAGTTCTTCTTCTTCTTCTTTTTCTTCTTCTTCTTCTACCCTTTCTTTGAAAGGTGAACCTATATTTAATAAGGACAAGTATTGTAATTAATAAGATATTGTATTGTCAAAAAAACTTTGATTAAATGATTGCTCACCTCTTGGGATGAAAATGCATGAGATTGTTGTTGATGTGACATTGGCCAAATAGTGGGACAACTACTAAGTGAATCAACAACCTATCATTGAATAAGAGGCTGAAGTTGTATAGTAGCTCTGGACAATTTAAAGTAATAACTAGTAAAAATAATGAAAATACCTACTGCCTATGTACTGGGTTCGAGGGTGCAAAGCTGGTGCAACGGGCACGCCCACAGCTTGCAATTGAGATTCCAAAATCTCAACTCGTGACTGAAAATCTGCACGTACTTTCTTTAGTGTGTGTGTGCACGCGCGCCTACGAATTTGGATGCAACTGACAAGAATTTTCCTCCTATTGTCTTCTTGTTTCTCTTAACGTTCAAGTTCTCAACTGTCTAATATACCTACTGTCTAATATACCTACGTTACCCGTTCCACCAATCCAACAGAAAATGGTAAAGGCTAATCCTCTTAATCCACATATTATCTCAAACTACCGTGTCAGTCCATACCAAAAAAATTAAAACATTGTCAATTTGTTTATGCCCTAGTCAAAGAACCTATGACAAGAAAGCACACACAGGCAAAACAAAGAACAATCTCTATAATGTAAACTGAGTTTCATAACCAAAGGACTAAAAATAATAATATGCACGAATGAAAACATAGCAATAAGATTTTAAGGATGGAAGAGCTGTGCATGTCCTCAGTTCTATTATATATATCAATAAGAAACAAACAACACAACTATACGGGAGCAAGAGAAAAGAAGTTTGACCTTGGGATTTGTAACAATGACTCCAAATGCACTGAAAGTATCATACAAAAGTTTCTCATCCACATCCTGCAAAGAAAATCAGGGCCAGGTTCGAAATTGAAAAACTATGTCATAGGCATATAGCAGTTTACAAGGCATGATAAATGTAAGGTTGCCTATCCATGTTTACCAATTTTCAAGATGTAAAAGGATTATGATATGCAATACAAAAAAAATAAAAAATAAAATAAGAAAGGGCACGCAACACGACACATTATTTGACAACTTGGTCTCCATCATTCTAGAGAAATGCCTACCATCATTTGGAAGGCAGCCATCACCCCATTTCCATCCTGAGAGCAAGGGCTTTATAGCAAGGCAATAGTGCTTGGATTAAAAATTACAACAGCTTAAGTATGGTGCATTCACAACATAAACACCCGATATTTAATGGTGCATTCACAGCTTAATTGGCACAAATTATGGTGCATAATATGATTACCCCCAGAAAATTTGATTACCCCCAGTATTTTGTCTCAAAAATGCATACCACCCCCCTCAACTTTAAAACACTACAAACCCCCCTACTCTAGACTAAAGTGAATGTTAGTTTCTCCATCCAATTGCTGGAATTACTTTTATACCCTTAAAAGTGATTGAAATATATTTGATGGTGCTCTGCAAATTTGCAAGACTGTTATTACTCTACCTAAATTCAATAAAAACCATGATTTGTTTGAGAAGGTAATGCTTGAACTCGCTCTCGACAAGGATAATCACAAGGGAAGGATGCCAACGCCACAGCCGAGTTCACTGTCTCAGGTTAACCCCCACCACACCTTACCGGTCCCACTCTGCAGCCCCTCTGCTATCTGAAGAACACAGCTCTTGAGGATTTTGCACTTCAACATCAAAGTCATACCAGCATAATTGCTCAGTAAATATGTCCCTCTAGAATTCTTAATTTACCACCAAAGTGAGCATGGGGAACTACTTATATAGACGTTATCCATGAACTACTCATCAGATTCAGGAGGCCTCATTGAATCAGGTGAAAGGCACACCACAAAATCCATAGTCCAGGTACAGCGAGGGAGAAAATGGGAGGGTGAGATAAAAGATAAGAACAAAGGCATTAAATTTGAGTGAGAATCATTTCTTGTTGAGGCCATCTGTGTATTCACTTTAAACAGGAGTAGAGGGGATTTAAGGGTAGGTTTTTAAAGAGGAGAAACAAATACCATCCTGAACATCCTTTAGTTCCACCACACCATCCTTTAGTTCCACCACACCATTTTGTTGTTCATCTTTGACCTTTGAAAGAGGAGAAAAGACCTGCAAAGGGGGGGGAAAATGAAACACAAGGTAAGCCTGAAAATAACATGGTAGTCATTAAAATATATTTCTCTTTCTTGTAGTACCTGGTGTATTGAGATGAAAACAACCGTAATTCCTAACATAAAGTTTATAGTCAGAGTGGCCAAATAATGCAGCAGATGCTATGCCTGTGAATATTGTGGCAACAGTTGATAAATACTTCTTCAAGATTGTATCTGGTCACATCAAACAAAATGTCAGATTGCAACTAAGAAAATTCCCCATGCAATAACTCGTGTAATGGTGCATATTGAACAATAACAAATATAATTCTTAAAGTCTCAAATGAGCAGAACAGCATCTGAATGTTGATGCATAGAAAGAAGACCTCAAACTACTAAGGAAAGTAATCAAACCTGCATATTTGAAGACAAATGAGGATAGGATTCCTTGTGCTGCATTGTTAAATATTAGAAGCATGGTAGCTTTTGAATGGCCTTCAAAAGATGTCAAAGCTACTAGGACCTGAAATATTCAACATTACAAAATTAGAGCCACAACTCAAAAATGTATATCCCATGAACCAAGAGCACTAATCATCCTCGAGTGTCCTATACAGATTGAATTGTCCTGAAGCTACACACATCCAATAGAAGGGTTATAGCCATTAAAAAGAATGGAGCCTTCAACACAACAAGGCATTAACTATTTCATGAAATTTTAGTGTGACACTGGGAAAAGACATTAACAATATGTGCTGAAGCCTCCATTCGTGTAAAGCCACTAAAATTTGTGCAATTTCTGAAATATGACCCGATCACTTTACCTGTTTAACAAAGTAGAAAATGAAAGAAAATAGAAAAAAGCAAAGACAAAAGGCAGTTTTGGTTTATCTTTTGTGAGTTTAACAACAAAAGATTAATATTGCATTAATTCTCTATATTGTTACAGCAGTTATGGCACCTAAATATATAAGAGAAAGAAAACCCTAAACCCATACACAATATATATAGCATATATCATACCTCTGTCATCAGATATGGTGGATATAATATGAGTTGGAGCTCGGACTTTTCCACTCTTAATAGCAGTATTAAGATCCTCAGGGATTTGTGGAGGCTTAAACTTCCTTTGTAGGAGTAACATTGCCCCCCTCAACCTAAGCAAAATGTAAGCAAATGATTTACTAAAACTGGTGGTAGTGAGGAATGCCTACATAATGGCAGTAATGGGTATGAGATGTGCAACAGCTTACCAGCTTCTCAAATGTTTCTTTAATCACAGTTTCAAATGCTTCAAATGAAGTTGGGACAACAGCTCCAGCATCGTGAAGTGCTTGATTCTTGGCTTGTGCAGACTCCATCTCACCACCACTTTTGGCTCCCTAATTTAAGCAACGTTGAGCAAAATTAGAAAATAACACCAAAAATAAAATAAAATAAATAAACAAAAATTATATCCAAGGAAATTTAGCAGTAGCTCACCGCATGACCAAATTGTACTTCTGACTTGAAGAGACGTGCACAAGTTCCACTGACCCAAGCAACCACAGGTTTACTGATTTTCCCCTGTTTCAGGGCTTCCACTAGGGAATACTCATCTCGGCCACCAAGTTCTCCAAGCACAAAAATCATTTTAATCTGAGTAAATCAGAAAATTAAGTCAGCAAAAGGATAGGGACCAAAATACAAAGAAAAGAAACAGGAAAGTAAGAAAAACCAATAACTATATGACATCTAATGATGCAGAAATTTAGAAGCTAGGTTAGAATAGCTTGGCCTAAGTAGGTGCTTTAGTACTTGAAAGTAGAACCAAACACAAAATTAGAAATTCAGATCTAGCTTCTTTGTAACCTTTAAGCTTGAGGCTGAGACCAATATATTAAAAGATTCACAAATATCTTCATCAACTGAGTGCTTATTGTGGCAGTCAAGCAACAAATAAACTTCACAAGAAAATTTTCGACTTGTACTAGTCAAATATTTTTACAATCAGCTGTTAAGGCAGCTTAGTATGGTAAAAAATCTGTAATAAATTATGCCACAGAAAATTGAATAGCAATATTAGGATCCTTTTATAAAATAGCAGCAATAGGCAAGACGCAGATTTCCACTTTTGAGACCATTTAAATAATTTGTTGTTCAGGTTAAGGCATTAAGCATACATTGTGAAGTTGATCCCAATGCATTGATGCAGATTATGCAGGTAACTTTCTCAATGAGAATAAAATATAGACACACAAAGTTCAACTCTGTGACAGAACCCACCCAACATAGATGAAAACATAAAAGATGAGTGAAAATGTAAAATTGAAGTAAAAACTTAAAACTTTATGAGTGTATTTCATAGTTAACTGAAAAGTTTACACAAATATAAAGAGATTATTTCGGCTATTATATACTTTTAGAGACAAAAAGCAAAAGCCCCCCAAAAAATGGAGCGATTGAAAGATTCCATACCTTTTTTTTTGTATTTGTTGTAAACTTCAGTCCCTTTCTCCAAATCCAAACAAAACAATTTGAACAAACACATATAAACATGTATGTAAAACAAATAAAGAATGAGAGAGAGACCTTGACTGTAAAACAAAATTTGTCAATCTATTCATATATATGTATGTATGTATTTTGTGTTCAATTTTAACATCTACAATGCACATTATGATCTTCAATCGATCAATAGATCTTCAATCGAAACCTACCATACTTGAATAGAATCAATAGATCTTCAATCTGATCTAAGAATGATAAAGTAGATGAAACCTAGCATACTTGAATCGAAAGATTCCGTCAGTAAGAAGATCGAGATGAGACTGATCAACACTTAATATGAAGAAAGAGCTGCGAACGCGAATGTAAACATGAACTAGAGAAGAGGCTTGAATCGATCTATGAATGCTTGAATCAATCTGCAAATACGAAGGGGTTCAGCTATGGTTCTACAAATATGAAGGGTTGTCTCTGAAACGAAGGGGTTTGAAGCTAGAGAGAGTGAAATCAAGGGTTTAGAGAAAGAGAGAGCAAGACTGAGAGTGAATAATACTTGAATCGATCTACGAGTAGATGAATCGATCTGCAAATACAAAGGGGTTCAGCTGCGGTTCTACAAATACGAAGTTTGAAGAGAAGAGAGAGAGTGAAATCAAGGTTTCAGAAAGAGGGAGACTGAGAGAGAATACACTACTTTATGTTCCTATGTTAAAAAAATAAAAAATAAAAAAACATATTCGAAGGCGTTTTTAAAATGACTTGAAATTAAAACGGTGTCGTATTGTTAAACAAAAAAATGCGACGTTTATAAAAACGCCGTTAAATGTTAGAAACAGAGGCATTTTTTTAAACGCCATTAAATAAACGCCGTTAAATCCCAATTTTCTTGTAGTGGTTGTACTTAAAATAATTAGAGGTAATTGCACTCTAGTGACATTATGAAAAATAAATTATATACTTATAAAAAGTTTAAAATTTTAATTATTAATATTTATAATTTTTTTTTTACTGATTTGTAATTATTTTTTCACAATTAGATTAATTTGATATTTCCCCTGATAATTATGATGTATAAATGTGTTTTTCGGACATTTAGTATTTTAGACATTAGGTTTGACTTAGTGGCCTTGTAACCACACCTTAAGAGTGGTCTTATAGCTACACCTTGCCACACCTTAAGGTGTAACGAGAAGAAAGTCAGGTGTTCAAGTTGATGGTGCAGCAAGTTACCCGTTCCCCCAATCCAACAGAAAATGGTAAAGGCTAATCCTCTTAATCCACATATTATCTCAAACTACTGTGTCAGTCCATACCAAAAAAATTAAAACATTGTCAATTTGTTCATGCCCTAGTCAAAGAACCTATGACAAGAAAGCACACACAGGCAAAACTTTAGAATTTGGGGCTATCTTATATTGCTCGACAGTTTGGGCATCTAACATATCTCTTTGTTTTATATGATATATTCTAAAATGTGAACAGTTCAGATCATCAAAGCAGGCCCCGAAATAGGCTTATATGGCTGCACTATAGTGGCTGTTATGCCCCCAACCCATTTTCTTTTTATAATCTAAATCATTAATTTTAATTTCTCATATGTAAATTATCTATGTAAAATATGAGATTGATCTAGTAATTCTACCCATTTGATTTAATCATAATTTTTTTTAAAAAATAATGAATATTTTTTTTATAATTATATTTGTCATCTTTTTTTTTGATTTAATCATATTTGTTAAAAAATAATGATTATTTTTTATAATTATATTTGTCATCTATTTTTTTGATTTAATCATATTTGTTAAAAAATAATGAATATTTTTTATAATTATATTTGTCATCTATTTTTTTGATTTAATCATATTTGTTAAAAAATAATGAATATTTTTTATAATTATATTTGTCATCTATTTTTTTTAATAATAAATATTATAAAATAATATGACTAAAATGATCAAATTGGTCTAAATTTACTTTTATTTTCATTTTAGGTGGATAATCTATGAAAAATTACAATTCAATCCATATTTCCAAAATAAATTTCAAATCAATGATAAAGTTTATCAACTTTAATAATTGAAATCATAAACTTTTTCACACTTCGTAGTTTTTTATTTTTTATTTTTTGTCATACTACTAATTCACAATTTCCTCTATAATCTATATATCAGGACCTAAAAGAGAGATCGGTCTTGTCATGACCCCATCTCACCCCTATAGGATAGTAAGGGGATCGGCTAGTAATCCCTGATTACCAAATGCCTAACTTGACAAAATTACAAAATGACTAATATATAGACCTTAAAAGTGGAATTTTCATCATTAATCTAATAAGTCCATAGAATAGTGCATAAGTAGTACAACCTTTATCGCTTATCTTCTGAATAATTTACATTAAGTACATAGACAAATGAAAAGTACAACGTTTACATTCATAAGTATAAAACTCGTGATTTATACAAAACTCGCCAAAACTCGTCTCTTAAAAAGGAAAAAGTAACAGAAGAAAAAAATAAAAGAAAAGACTCCTTGAAATGGGTCCAATACCTCTATCAACGTTACTCTTCCCGATTACCTACATATATATAAAAGAATGAGTCAAGCCCAATGAATAATATCATGGTAAGGTGGTGAATTAACAAATTCCAAGCTCATTAATAAAGAATCACTTCATGTAGCATTTACATAAGCATTCAAACATTCATGAGGTTAACTCGTAAAGAAAGCATGATACATGCACTACAACAAAATGCACATTTGGACTAAAATTGGCGACCAAAACAATTTTAGTCGCCAAAAATAGTAGATTGGGCGACTAAAAAACTAATTTAGTCGGCATTGATTGAATCTTTTTAGCTACTAAACTATTTTAGTCGCCATATAGTCTTATTGGTGACCAAACTTAGTTTTAGTCGTTGTTTGTTACCATTTTACGCTACTAAAATTTGATTTTGTCGCCGTATAATAACATTTTGCGACAAAACATTTTCGTCGCCCAAAAATGGGCATATTTTTGATGAATTTTTGACAACCACAGCTAAGTTAGTCGTTGTATATTTAATATTGCCGACGAAAATTTGAATTTAGTAGCCAAAGAAACCGCTTTTGGCGACCAATTTTTAGTTGCTGTTAAGGATATTTGGCGACAAATAGTCATTTAGTCGCTAAAGCTTTGAAATTTTTTTAGAGGGAAACTCATTAATTTTGCTGCCCAGTATATATATTACACAGACACACTTTTTTGTTCTGTTTTGTCTCACACACCAACATAGCAGTCGATACCAAGCCCGTCGCTCACCATCGCCGATCATCACCATCGCAGGCCACCCGCGCTCGCCACCACGACCACTGCAAATCGGCCCCACCATTGATTACAGGTATGTGTCTGTCGTCTCTCTTCCTCTCTATCGATTTGGGTCTGTCTGTTTGTATCTGTTTCTCGCTGTGTCTCCTATCCTCTTCTTTCACGATTTTTGTAGGGTTTTGGCATGTTTTTTTTCTTTCATTTTCCGTTTATTTCGTAAACAATTTTGTTAGGGCTTTTTCTAATTTCGTGAATGGGTTTGGCTGAAATTTTGGATTGTGGATTTTGGATTCCTGATTTTCGATTGTTGAACTATATCACCTAATGTGCCTGTGTTTCTTACCTATGCTAAACAGCATAATAAGCAAACAATTTGGTGCACATTGTATCTTTTAATGCTCCAGTTCTGAAGTCTTGAATCCTGTGTATTACAGAATTTGTAAATTATTATTTTTTTATTTGGAGCCTTTTAATTTATTTATTAATTAGAATTTGGGGCTATCTTATATTGCTCGACAGTTTGGGCATCTAACATATCTCTATCCCTATTCTTGCCTTTGGTTAATACTGCAACATGTTATTCTGGAAAGACATTTACATAAAAATGAAGCAGAGAAAATATAAAACTTCAAGAATTCCTAGACACCATAAGTAATCAAAGATTGTTCCTAAGGCATCAAAGGTGAACACATAACCCATGACGACATGCTGATGACCTGTAACGACCTCAAAATCCGTATTAGAGATTACCTTTATGGCCTTATGGGTTAATGCATTTTAATTTAATGATATCTGTTCAAATTGAGGAACTATCTATTGAGCCACGACTTTAAAATTGAAATTACTGACCTTTACG